ACTTAAGTTTCGCTGGATTCACTGGTATACAAACTGATTATAAACCATTTGTTTACTTTTAGCAACACAGACTTTGTGTCCGACGAGCTGGTAATCCGGCGAAACTTAAGTTGCGCACCAAAACGTAAGTACATATATATATATATATATATATATATATATATATATATATATACGTATATATACGTTTAACAGGTGTAATATTGGAGGAATCGAAACTTTCCTCATACAGTCTCAGTTGCAGTGGACTGGCTATGTCTGATGACAGGAAACCCAAGATCCTACGTTAGATCCGGGCTAAAGAAATGTAGGGCGACGTGTCTTAGATACAAAGACAAGCTGAAGAGCAACTTGTTAGATGTTAATATACCTCATAAAACCCTGCAGTGGAATCTATTAGTCTCTATCGTCTTCAAGAAGCGAGAGCAAGATGTAATGCGTCAGCCAATCTAACCGTGACCTCATCCCGTAATCCTAAGTCTTGATCCATATGCAGCCTCCTTTGCAAATCACTTTCGAGTTTTAAGTGCTATTTAAGATTATCGCACAAAATTCAGAACTGAATCAGTTGGTTAAGTTGTTAGAACCTCATACATCGAAACCGACGGAGAGTCCATTATATATATATATATATATATATATATATATATATATATATATATATATTAAAAAAACTTACGTATAAGTACAGGTACCTACAAATACATATATTTTTCTCAGGTGTTATAAAAGCAGTGTTTAATGTTATATAACAGAGCTACTGAGTATATATTATTGAATATATATAATATCATGCGTTGATAGCACGACCATGAGTTTCATGCAAACACGCAATCTTCAGTACAATGAATACAATTTAGGTTATCCACTAACTTCAGTCACAAAGAAATATGTGACGATAATAAAACTAGATATACTAAAGCACTAGAATACTGCAACCATAAACTGAAATTAGTATCTGTAGAAATAAAAAAAAAACAATAAAGAATTAAGCTAAAACAACACAAACTTAATATCAGATGGTTCAAACCAGCTTACAATACTAACGCCAAAACTAATGCTGGTAGATTTTTAAAAAAAATGTAATTAACTAACACTTTGGTCATTCTCCCATTTTCAACAAAAATAATATTAAAGTAAGCTATAGCTGTACTAAAAACATCGATAATTATATATCGCAACATAACAATAATATATTAAGCAAGCACACAAAAAATACTAAATAATAATTCTAATAAAAGTCAATGAAACTGCCGTAGAAACGTAACCTGCCCCCGAAATGCCAAGTGCATGAATGAAGGTATAATCTACAGAGCTAGGATCAGTTCATACGATGATGTTAAATATTACTTTAATTCCACCGAGAACAACTAGAAATCGCGTCTCTACCATCACCAACTGACGCTGAACATTATTAAATATAAAAACTGCACAACATTCAAAACAGTTTTGGTAATTAAAAAAAAACAACTATAAGTACCTTTCTATTAGCGGCGATATAATCGCGAAAGCTAGACCATATATGTAGAAATCAAGAGAGATTTTATTTGTGCTTATTGCAGAAGCTTATTATATTAACAATAATATTTTATTACTTAAATAACGCAAATTTGCTGAACAAGATAAGTGAGTTGATCGGTACATGTATACATAAAACCAAACACATACCCAAGCACATTGAACTCGATTAAAAGAGATTTCAAAATAGATTTTACGAATATTGATATAATATGTAACGCCTATTAATATTCATAGAAGCAATCATTAATCACATTTTTATCTATAGACAATAATATAGATCGTACTCGATTAATTTATGACGTGTATATGTAATTTCACATTTGTAAGAATAAGGCTAGGTTCCAAATGCACTAGATATAATATATAGTCTTAACCTATAATTATGTTAACATCGTGTGATCTAAGTTTATTCTAAGACTTTAATAATATATTCTATGAAGTTTTTTTTTTATACAAATACGAGAGTTATCGCCCGTGATACATAGCGTGTTTAGGTAAATTCAGATTTTTTTTTAATTTTTAAAATATTTTTTTTTAATTTTTCGTCTTTCGAACTTAAGAATTTGAACGATATAAATTATAAACAACTAATTCCAATATTATAGACGACAATAATAAAATAAATAAGTCTTAAAACACAGTTTTAAATCAGTACCACAAGAACGCCAATTTCATAACGGTTAACGGTCAGTGAGTATTGTACACCTGAAGATTGCGTTTTTTCAAGAAAATCGGAGTCATTCTATCGACGTAGGATATTATGTATATACTCTTTTAAACTACAATTCTCCATGATTTTCTCTTGTACTTTCATATCTGCTCGATGCGTATCCAAATGTACACAAATGACGTCACACATTATGAAATGGACAAATTTCGAAAATTACTTTAAGACATTTATAGATACAAATATTTAAGTAAATGCTCTGTTTATAATAAATCTTAAATTTATTATAAACAGAGCATTTACTTAAAGATATATATGTATGTACAAAAAAGAATGTATAAACATAAAATTGTTTGTGTGTGTGTGTGTGTGTGTGTGTGTGTGTAAGTGTGTGTGTGTGTGTGTGTGTAACTATTTTTAATCCGAAAAGCCCTAATTTTGTTTTTATTTAAAACAATGTATATTACGCCTGTCGGTGTGCGTAATCGAGAAATATGAATTAAGACTCATCATTTCGATTGTTTTCAGCCCGTTGCAGAAAATAAAAAAAAGACATCATCGAAAAACTGCTCGTTCACAGTCAACTGCACTGCTCAGATTATGTCAGATGAGCACCTGTATAAATGTGTGTCCCGTATTTTTTTTTTCAAATATCTTCTTTCCTAAAAGATATACCCCTTCCCCAAGTTAACAGACATGACCATAAAAATTTTAAAAAGCGGAAAGAAAACGATTAATGTCAAAAGATTTCTAAAACTAGAATAAAATTATAAGTAATACTAACATTTTTTTTTTAAATTTAACAAGAATAACAACACTGGCACAATTTCGTTTATTAACGAAATTAACTTAAATCACTTACCATCCTTTACTTTTATTGACTTTCATAGTTAGCCTGAAGAATATTTACGAGCGTTCTTAAATTTAAACATTTCAAAAACATAATATTTTTAATAGTGTCGATAAATACTTGCTGAAAAATAAAACTCCATCAGAGGGCAAAATGCACACCCACACAAATATATGTGTGTGTGTGTGTGTGTCTGTGTTTGTGTATTTAGGCAGCAAATCCTCTTTTAGGCATGTCTGCCTGAATAAATTACGAACATTATGCCTGCTTATTTTTATCATAATCTTTTCCTATTCACGAAGAGTTTTTTTCCGCATATTATAATCAAATGAGTCAAGAAACGCACTTTAACATTGAAAACCACTTTTATTTCCAAGTACTTTCCATCTCTTTCTGGGATCATCATTAGGGGTGCAACTAGTAAGGCAAAAATATGTGTAGCTAATCCATTAGTGATTTTTTTTTTTTTTTTGCGTTTAAATGCTACGGCTTATATAATGGATAACTCTTCACATTCTAATAAAAGCTAAAGCATAACTGTCAAGTGCTGTGTTTAAACGCTGAAGTAAAACATCAGTAATGGATAGCTACATATAGTTTTTGCCTTACTGGTTGTACACCTGATGATGATCTCAGAAAGTGATGGAAAGTACTTGGGAAATAAAAGTAATTTTCACTGTCACATTGCATTTCTTGTCTCATTTGATTGTAATATACGGAAAAGATATTCGTGAATATGAAAAGATTATGATAAAAATAAACAGACATGATGTTTGTAATTTATTCAATATATATATATATATATATATATATATATATAATCTTATGATATTATGAATATACTACTTATAGATTTTCTTGGGCAATATTACGACAAATGCGAAAAAAACTTTATGTTGTTCTACAGAAGGATACTGAAAAGTCCATAGTTAAAACGAATAAAAAACAAGAGGGTCTTAAAGAAAATGGCAATAGAAAGAACATTTCTACTCAGAATCAGGAAAAGACATCTGACATTGCTTGGATATATAATGAGCAAGGAGGCCTTGGTAAAGGGATTAAAACTGCTCACCGGAGATAGGAAGTTGTGGAGGACCATGACTATGTCTTGAAGAAATTCGGCGCACAGAAGATATAAGATAGAGAGTTTCTCATCTGCGCTGGAAGGAGATACATTTTTGGAAAAAATAAATAAATAAAACAAGAAACTCCCAAAGTTACACACCCACTCGCCGATATACATTGACTCAGTCCGGGAGTGAATAAACAATACAATTTACGTAGGAGAGATTTTTCTGTCTTCTTGTTATTAGTCTTCATCAGGATAACATTACAACAAAGATTCTTCGAAGGCTTTGTTAATATACAGTTTTAAAAAAACAATACTTTCTTCGTTGAGTTATTGCAAATAAAGTTAATTTCGGTATTAAACAGCGACTCTCAGTGTTCCGGCCTGGTTCCGTTTGTCACTGAGTGAATACGAGATAAACATTTAACTCAGTTTAGCTGCAATGAATATAGCATTAAGAATAAATAATCTTTTTTTTCTCTTTTTTTTTTTTTTTTTTTTTTTTTGATGCAATGAAATATTCGTTAAGGTTTGAGAATATAAGAATGCGTTAATAGTGCAAAAAGAATTATTAGCGATAAAAGACAATAAAATGGTGTTTATGAAAGTGAAGCGAATAGCACTTCCTTTCGTTTCTTTCCTTGTCAGCGCCAATCAATATGCGTTCCCAAATTTATCGAATCACTTCCAATAGAAACAATGTAACAGAAGAGGGGAAAATGCACCAAGAGAATGCCATTTCGAAGTGGCTTAGTATTATTAGACATTAATGGCGCCAGCAAGTCGCTTTTAAAAGATTAGTTTGGTGACGACACGGACATATGATGTCTACTGCCGGTAGAGATTTTAGAAAAAGACACAGGCACAGCTTTTTTTTTTAAAAGACAAAGGCGTTATACGAGAAGAAGGATGTAGATAAATTGGAACGTAAGAGAGATAAACGTGAGGTGATTAGTAAAAATTAGGAAGACAAGTTTGAAGAAGTAAAGGAATAGATCAAAACAGAGAGAGAGAGAGGGAGACAGAGAGAGGGGAGAGGGATAAATCGTAAATAGTGGTACTAAAAAGAAAGAGAAACACAGTAAGAGAAAGTACGAGAGAGAGAGTAAAAATTAATTGGAGATGGCATAACTAAAAAAAAGAGAAACAAACTGAGTGGGGAGAGAGAAGCAAAGACTGGAGATGATGCTACAACAGAGAAAAAGAACGAAACTGATAGAGAAGGATAGAGAGTAGCAATGAATGAAGAAAATAGAGAGAAACAAACTTGAGAGTGTGGTAAAGATTAGAGAGAGTGATAGAGCGAGAGTGTAACAAATAATGGAGCGCTGATACTAAAAAGAAAAAGAAACAATGTGAGGGAGAGTGGGAGTAGTAGTAAAGAAAGAAAAGGTGATACTAAAAATAAAGAATACCAAACTGTGAGAGAGTGGGAGGGCATAGGAAAGAATGGCGATGGTGGTAAGAAAATAGAGGGAAACAAACTGAGGGAGAGAGAGTAGTATAGAATAGAGAGAGTAGTATAGAATAGAGAGAGTGAAATTAAAAAAGAAAACAAATGAGAGAGAGAGAGAGAGTGATAGTGAGAGTGTGATAGAGAGAACGTGTAGAAAATAAAAGAATGGTGATACTAAAAATAAAAAAAAACAAACGGAAAAAAGAAATAGGGAGAGAGATATTAGCAAATAAAAGAAAGGTGATAATAAAAAGAAAAAGGAAAAAAAGAACTGAGAGAGAAAGAGAGTAGAAAAGAAAGAAAAGGTCATACTAAAAAGAAAATGGAGAAAAAAAAACTGGGAAAGAAATAGTGAGAGATTAGCAAAGAAAGGAAAGGCGAGAGTAAAAAGAAAAAGGAAGAAACTGAAAATGATAAAGAGACAGATTAGCAAAGTGATACTAAAAAGAAACAGAAAGGAACTGAGAAAGAGAGGGGTCTGCAAAGAAATGAAATGATAGTAAAAAGAAAGAGAAGCAGACTGAGAGTGAGAGAGAGTAGCTAAGAAAAGAGATTGTGCTCGAAAAGAAAACCAGAGTGATAGAGAAAGACAGAAAGAATGAGGGAAACGAGGAAAGAGAGAAATAAAGAATGAAAACTATAAGAAAAATAATAACGTAAGTTAGATTGAGAGAGAGTGTAGCAAAATTAGAGATTATGACGTCAAAAAGAAAGAAAGAGAAGTAAACTGAGAAAGAGGGAAAGAGAGAGGGTAGCAAAGAATAGAAATGTTGGGTCAAAAACGAGAAAGAAAGTGAGAAAGAGCGACAGATAGAGAGAGAGAGAAAAAAGGAGGGTAGCAAAGCGTGGAGAAGCTGGAACATAAAAAAAGAGAGAAAGAAAGTGAAATAGAAAAAAAGGGAGAGGAAAAGTAGCGAAGACTTAAGAAAATCAGCAAATAAGTTAGAATGAAAAGAAAAACGAATAGGAAAAGAAAAAAGGTAAGAAAAGAAAGAAAGAAAATCCAAAATGACAAAGAATTTATAAAAACACAAATATACTGAAATCAAGTTCTAATTTTGTTAATTAATAAACTTATCTCATAATAAACTTATCCAATAAAAAATATATACACTTAATATATATTCAAAGATACACATATCTTCTAATAAGCGTGAGGACAATATCAATTTCCCATACATATACACACACACACACACACATATATATATATATATATATATATATATATGTATATGTGTGTGTCAGTGTGTGGATGTGTGTGTGTGTGTGTAACGAATGCACGGCCGCAATTTTCGACGGATTTGCACCAAAATTTACATGCATATGCTCCACGTTAGTGGAAAGGCCAAGACTGACATTGAATTTCCCAACTCCCATCGATAGTGGAAATAATCATTTTTTTCATGCTTCTACGGCAGTTTTCATGTAGTTTGCGGCCATTTTCTACTGGCCAGAATGAGAGCCAAAAGATGGCTACCACGAATAGGCAGGAAGATTCTATTGGTCAGCGTGAGAGCCAACACCTTACTGACACGAATGTTAACTAGCATGCTAGCATGCAAAAAAAAATCGATAGCTGCATTCGTCACAAGTGGGAAAAATTTAAATCTGCATGTCACTTTACTCCAATTGGCTCATTTGCTTGCTTAAACTCAACGTTGATTCTGATTCCGCAGAACTGTGTTCGGTGTAAAAAAGTATTTGTTGTTAACATTCTATTTTCATTCGGTTTTTCCAGTTACGAGTCCTTTTTTAAAGCTGATCGTTTTGTGTTCATTTTGTTCTTTTTTCGTAACAGATTTAATGTTTAGTATAGAGCTTAGAAAAAATCGCAGTGTGAGATAGGCAAGAAGTAAGGCATGTAGCAACATCAGCACGGCAAATGGGCACTCCTTTAAAAGCAAGGAAGGGCAAATATAATTTAAGTCAAGTGATAGCGATTGCAGTATGAGTCGTACGATTTTTGAATCAAGCACGGGCAACGCCGGGCCATGCTGCTAGTATATATATATATATATATATATATATATATATATATATATATATATATATATAACATCAAGATAGAGCTATAAATCACAGGTTTATCACTAACAACACCTGGTTTAACACCTTTAAACTTTCATCTCTTTGATCCAAAAGAAGATGCACAGAGGGGTAGAAATTATGAAAAAGTGAAAACTGCTGCAGGGAAGGGCTACATTAGCATTCAGCAAAGTATTTCGAAGCTGACTATATGCCCTCATTCGCAAGGGAACATTACCATTGAAAGAGGTGTCTGAGAAGTTGGGATGCGAACTTGTGATGTGTAGTATATCTTGATATACGTTGTGTTTGTGTTCCATATTTCTCATATAATAAATACCATACTATATATATATATATATATATATATATATATATATATATATAGAGAGAGAGAGAGAGAGAGATAGATAGATAGATAGATAGATAGATAGATTGGTTGTTGATATATAAATTTTAATCATTACTATAAACAATATTTTTCTGTCGTAATTGTCATTGTCTACTTCATTGAGCGAAGGAGCCGCAGTCCAACAATGTGACGTACAGGAGCAAATATCCAACGCCAATTATCATTACACCCAGCCTAATAAGGGTATATACACCGTACCTATGAACACTAATAGGTATGTCCCAATCCTCACAAATAAGTTGGACTAAAATTCATGAGAAAAAAATTAAAAATATAAAAGCAAATGAAAAATACAGACAAAAGTTCATTTTCGCAGTCCATTCATTTAATTCTGTAGTTCACTGCTACTAACAAGAAGAAATTTATTTTTCTCCTGATGATAGCCATGCTAGCCGAAACTAGTCGAGGAATCTAATTGAAATAATAAAAACGAAACAATATTAATATACAATAAGAATATTTATTCTTTAATATTTTTTATTGTTCAAAACATATACATATATATGCGACTAGACGTCCAGTTGCGTCTAGCTCGCATTATTAGCCGTAATAGTCACTGTTTACAAACCCACATTTCCTCCCTAGAGAGCTCAACTGAAATAAATTTTTCAGGAACATATATATATATATATATATATATATATATATATAGATAGATAGATAGATAGATACGTTGTATATTTGTTTAAATGAGTGTGTGTATGTATATGTATGGATGCGTGTAAGGTTTTATGCTTATGTGTCTGTGTGCACATATGTGTATGTCTATGTGTATATGTTTATATGTGTATATGTATGCATGAGTGTATGTGTATGAGTATATACGTGTGCATATATATATATATATATATATATATATATATATATATATATATATATATATATATTCACTTATATGTATGTATGGACGAGTAGATATAGATATATTGTTGTGTATGAGTGTATCTACGTATGTGTTTTTGGATATAAATAGTAGGTCCTTACGAGATTAAATATTCTTTAATTTTTATATGTTTATGTTAAATTTGTAATCTGTAGGTGATGCTAGTTGCTTTGTCAAGGTTTCTTGATTACACATCAATTCTTTTATAAATGTCCTCGATTTTTGTTTGCGCACCCCCCACCTTTTTTTTCCTCTCTCTCATTTTTTTTAGATCATATTGGTTTTGTATTGTGCGTAGTTTCATCACAAATGTATCCACACGTTCCCGGTGTCCGTTTTTTAACTTTAATTTTAGGTCATCAAATCGGTAGCGAATTATGCATCGAAAAATAATTCATATTTATCTGTATCTCACTCATTTAAACCGTTATTTAACTCCTCTCTTTAAAACTTCTCTCTGTTAAATTTTAATCACCACCTTCATCTTTAGACCTTTCCTGTTCTTCTTTCTTCTGTTACACCCTCTCTCTAGAGCTTTCATACATTTCCTTCTCACGCTTGTTTCCACTCCCGCACATACAGTCTCACTAAAATTTGGTTTTTTTTATAACCGGAGTTATATTTTCCGATTTCTTTTTGAATTTGTAGGTCTGATGAATTGGATTCTGATTACGATTCCAATGTAATAAATGGAATATAAGTGTTTGAGACTTATATATATATATATATATATATATATATATATATATATATATATATATATATATATATATAAAAAGTCTCAAACACTAATATATATATACATAATATATATATATACGGATACAACAATACATATATTTTCATTGTCCTCTTATTACTAAGAGAAAAACAAGAACAACATCTATTCCATACCTGAAGATGTCTGTAGGAACAGACGAAAGCTTGTAGTAAAAATAAGAACTAATACGGCGAAATTTATATAAACAAGGATCATTTCATTCATAACGGATTCAGAGGTTTTTGTATATTATTTGAATTGTTTGCGATGATGGATGTCTCGCCATTTAAATCATTAACCTTTGCATTAGTTTTTGTGTGAATAATTCATGTATATATATATATATATATATATATATATATATATATATATATATATATATAATTATGTATATCGTTATTCTTCTTTTGTACAAGTTTCATTAAAGACAACTAACAAGAATCTACGATTAAGATTTTCTTCAATTTTCTTCTGTTCGCATAAGTGTTTGCTTATCTGGACACAAAATGTGTCAAAACTGTCAAAATGTCCTATATATCCATGCGCTTTCGGCTATTCAATGTGCTCAGCGTATTTCGAAAATAAAAAGACCCTTGATAAGCATTCGGATAAATAGAAAATTTTGTAAGTTTTTTCACACTTTATGTCCAGAAAAGAACACATTAGCATGAACACAAGAAAAATGAATAAAAGGCGGTAATCGCAGTATCTTGCCAATTGTCTTTACTGAATATATATATATATATATATATATATATATATATATATATATATATATATATGCTGTACTCTCCCGTCATTTATCGATGTATGAAGGTCAGCCAACTGAGTTCCTAGGAACCCGGAGGCAAACATGATTGATTATAGTGGTGAAGGTTTTGTGCACTCTTTTGAATCGCTGAATGCAGAGACTAGCTGCACTACGTGCTACAAGGTCCCCCAAACGTCCCTCTGCAGGTTTTGAATTCGAAGTTGTCCTTCACCTAGACAAGTTGCCATCAAAGGCTATATAACCCAATCTTTCCTGGGCGGGAGAAGAAGAGGATTTATACCTTTCCTAGGGGTATTAGCACGTAAGTGAATACAGTGGATTCGACTGGAATTCGAACTCGGCTCTTCGATTCCTCAGTCCAAAGTGTGTGTGCCTTTGTAAATTATTTTCATATAGTGTGTATCTGTAAAGGAACAAAATGAATAAAAAGAGACGAGGAAAACTATTCTTAGCCACGCGTTTTGTTCTCTGAAGGACTTTATGAAGGCAATGTAAGATTTATTTTGTTGAACGTATTTATATACAAAAGCAAAGATGTCATTGGTTTATCAAGATTTTTAAATTTGAGAACGTCCATGTGTATTCATCAGCTGGTTAAACAGTCAGTCAAAATATCTGGGCACAAATTAGCATAATCAATGTTATCCTCGCTTTTTTAGAGAAGTGCAAAAAATAAATCCTACACTGCCTTGATACTTGATAAAGTCACTCAGAGGGCGAAACGGATAAGAATAGTTTTTACTCTTGTCTTTTTTCATATATATTAGGCACGACCGTCGATTTCCGACGTATGTGGGCCCAATAGATAAGCTCAGAATAGAACCATAAGGCTACAAAAACAGATGGTTTTATTATAGTCGTAGAGTTTTGCGTGGAACACTTTTCAAAAGAACTGCTAGGATGGATCCATACCTTTCCTCAGGAAATCCAGAAAAGATAAACTTTTCAGAAGAACTAATAATAGAGAATGGTGCATAATCCTGCAAAGAATCCTCCTCACATTTTCATTTCAGAGATTAACCTCACCAAAATATTGCCACACATTCTTTAATTCGACGTTCGCTTTTTTCTTAGGCTAGCTGCTATCTACGATAATTCTATTCTGTATTTAGTCCATAGTTGTAGAAAATTGGATTTATGCTTTTGCAAGTAGAATTAGGTTAACGTAAAAGAAACAGAATGGGCCTGAATTTAAACCTTAAATATGAGATTAACACTTTATTGTTCGACTATTTACTCGTGTCTTAATAATAAGTTCGATTATTCTGACAAAGGAGACTGGCAAATGCTCTTGAAAATGGTCTCCAACCACTAGATTGTAAACCTTTCAAAAAGAAAATATCTTTTAATCATCATGCAGAAGGATTTTCGCCTTTAATGGCTGATGCTAACCTTTAAGTGAGCAGCTCATTTCGCCTTCGTGGTCTTATGTTTCCCGCTAACGTGATATTAAATCAATGGCTAGGTCTGCTCCTAGGAAAACTGGTTCACTGTGTCCTACCAGGCAATTTTTCTCGCCAGAATCCATCTTACACATTTATAAGTCTATTATTCGTGAATATTCTTCTCACATCTGGTATGGTGCTCCTGTTTTTTTATTTACAGATTCTTGATAAAATCCAAAGGAGAATCTGCAATGTTATTGGTCCTATATTGGCATCTCGGCTTTAGTCACTTCCACACGGCCAAACCTGTAATGGTTTTACAAATATTTTCCTGGTAATTGTGTTAATGGACATTCCTTCTTGGTATCTCATCCACATGAATTTAAGCCTACTACTAGATTGGCAACTATGTCTCATTGTTTACTATTGAAATTTTCAAATGTAACCATAAGATCTTTTTTTACCTCCGTACTTTTCGCCTGTTGAAATCCCTTCCGGTTTCTGTCTTTCCTGTCACCTAGAATCTTCAAAAATTTAATGGTAATGTCAATCACCATCTTCCATCTTCCTGAAGACTGTTCTTTTTTGTGCATTCTCTTCACTAAGGTTTTATCATTCTCTTTTACTGTCAGGAACCCCTAGTGTCTTAGTAGCGTTCTCGACTTTGTTTGGAGTTGGGAATTATAAAAAATTTATCAAGGAGACATTAAAAGACTCTCATTGATATTATCCATCAATGTGTAAACTGCTAAACAGGTGAACATCAATAAGGTGTTCCTTTTTATTAACTTTGTTTTTTCTTCTTTCTTTTTTTTTTTCTGATGCCACAATGCTTTACAAAAAAAGCATCGCATCCTGCTGCCGAAAATTACAGTTCTTCATTCGCATCATCAAAGACAACAATCACTGACTGCAACAGAAGAAACAGTTTGGTTGTGGAAACAAACAGCGAAAAGACAGTCAAGTTAATACGAAGAACATAGGACTGTAGAGAAACTCAGAAAGGAAAAGAAAAAAAAAGAAAAAGAAATAAAAAAGATATTTAGAAAAAAATAAGATAGTGGAAAAATGTCAGAGAAAAAAAAAGATTACAATGTTAGGTAAAAAGAAACTGACGTGTTGTGTTTATACATAGAAACAGCATCTTTATTTCCAGGCCTTTCACGTCATCTTCTTCATAATATATCTTGTTTAAACTCAATAATGTTGCTATGAACGAAGCTACGTTTTTCTATGAATTGGTAATTTTTGGATATTTGTATTACTTCCAATCCTTGTGTCAAATCTTCTGCAGGAGAAAAAAAGACAATTTCTTTAAATTCTCCCTCTATATACGTTAAATACAACCTCTCTTTTATTTTGTCTTTTCACATCTCGGCAGCCAAAACTAACAATACCTCGGCTTTCATCGCACCAGAAGGTACATTATTCTAGGCATTGCATAACCATTCTATGCAGCGAACACATGATCTTTTACAAGAAAGCCTTTGGCAGAAATGAAAATGTAATTACGATTATTTCTTCATATATTTTTAATTGCATCTTCAACTTCATCCTCGTCGTGTTCTCCTCCAATTCCCCCCTCTTTCTAGAAATTCTTTTCATTTTTCAGTAGCTTTTCTGTATTTTTTTTTCATTCCCTTGTATTTTTCATTTCGTCTTTTTTTTTTTTTTTTGTGCTTTCCTTATCTTGTTCAGTTCTTCTTTCATTCTTTGTCGATCCATCCTTCTTCTTCTTCTTCTTCTTCTTCTTCTTCTTCTTCTTCTTCTTCTTCTTCTGCCGCCTTATTTTGTAAATATTCTCCTTACATTTTCTTTTCCTTCTTTCGTTTTTCATTTCCTTTTCTTTTTTCATTCTTTATTTCTTCTTCTTCAAAATATTCCTTCCTTGCTTCCGAATCTCTTTCGTTACTTTCGTTTTTTCAGGTTTCTTCTTCTTCTCTTTCTTCTTTATATACTCTTTACATTTGCTTTTTCTTTTTCTTCGTTGATTTTCCTTTTCATTCCTTGTTCATTGCCATTCTTTATCTTTTCTCCTCTTCCTCTTCTACCATTTTTTCCTATTCTTCTTCTTCTTTTCTTCTTCTTCTTCTTCTTCTTCTTCTTCTTCTTCCCAAATTTCCGTTTTCTTTTCTCCTTTTCTTTTTTGGTGTTTCATCCTTTTTACATTATTCCTCTTTTTGTTTCGTGTTTACCTTCTTTTTTTTCCTTTTCTTTACTGTTCCGCTTTCGTCGTTTTCTTTCCTTCTTTCTTTTTCCTTTCCTAATTTTCTTCGTCTTTGTCATACTATCCTTAGCCTTTTTATACTTCTTAAATTTTCATGTCCTCACCTTCTTCTTCTTCTTCCTCTTATTATTATTTTTTTTTCCTCCTCTTCCTCTTCTTCGCTTTTCCCATCTTCCATTCTTTCCTTTTCTCTTCCTTTTCTTTTTTCTTTTTGCATTATTTTTCTTTTAATTCTACATCAGCCACCTTTTTTTTTATTTTATTATTCTAGTTATTTTTTTTTATTCTCGTGTATTTGCATATTTGCTCTAAATATATGCTGCTTTCAGTAGCCAATCTCCTTTAAAATGCAGCATCTTCCTAAGCACCCTTTCCAACTCCTGCACTGGCATAATCACAACAGCATCGAATCTTTTATTATTATTATTATTATTATTATTATTATTATTATTATTCCTTTAATTCTCATTTCTTTCCGGGTCCCAGCCAGAGACTTAAGAAATGGCAGCATCACATTTCTATTTAGCATTTAATTGAGGGGGAAAATCACACATATTTTACAGCCCTAAATAAGATGTGGGCTGTATTTGTGAGTACAATCTTTTATAATTCTTTAAGGCGTGGTAGGTATCCCATCAATGAATCTACTGGAATCTTTTTCAATCAATCCGTAGGCTCCATCTACAACCGGAGTTGTTGATGTCCTCTCATGTGCCACATTTTGGATATTTCGATTTGAAGATCCCTGTATTTTGATAGTTTTTGGGAGATCTTCAAAGAGACATTACAGTCTGCAGGGACTGCCATGTCATTATTATTATTATGGAGACAGGAGTACGCAAAAAAAGTAACACTTGGGTACAAATAAGCGAAACCCAATGTACCCATCTTCACGTACAATCTGATAAGTGAATATCAATCCAGTGAATCACGCAAATGTGTGCGATATTGTGACAAAATCAGCTGATAATAAATAATGCAGATGGGGCTCAGGTAGAAATAATTTCAGGTTGGGTAAAACAAGCCGCTTAGCCCCATTCCTATTGAGTGTGTTTCTATATATATAGATGTGGCTCTCAAGATGCCTTGGCTAACTCATCTCTTAAACTTAAAATTAAACAACCCTCATAAAACCCGGCTATGATGCTCCACCCGCTCATGAAGAGAAACCCACAGTGTATCAGCTATTAGGTGACATGTTCAAATGTTTATGGCCAAGTAACTGACAAGAAAAATCTATAGTATTGGATAGGATAGTTATGGAAGCCCAACATATCTTACCAACACAGAACGTGTGCATGTTAATAACTAAAGGGTGTTTCATTAAAACGGATTATAAATGCGAGTGTTTCATTAAAACGAATCAAAGTCAGCAGTAAATGTTATTTAAGTCGTGGCAATTATGTGTGAAAAATATTATCACCCAAATGTCCGCTAAATCTGAAAGAAAAAGAAAAACATCTTTAGACGCTTAAACTTAGTTCACATTTAAAATCGCTCCAAGTTATTGGAACACCCTTTTATTGTCAGTTACGGTTAGAATCTCGAAAAAACCATAAGTTCTATGGCATCAGGGCGTATTTCCTCATATCGTCAAAAGAAAGGACGGTAATATTTAAGCAGTTTTCAAGTAAAGGGTGTTTCATTAAGATGGATTATATATAAGGGTGTTTCATTAAGACGGATCAAGTCAGCAGTAAGTAAATCAATTTGTGAAACTTTATTTATTTCTCTGTGGGATCATGTTAAAATATATTATCACCCAAATGTCCGCTAAATCTGAAAGAAAAAGAAAAACATCTTTAGACGCTTAAACTTAATTCATTTTAAAATCGATCCAAGTTACTGGAACACCCTTTTATTGCTATGGCGGCAGGGCGTATTTCCCCATGTCATTAAAAGAAAGATAGTAACATCTAAGCGATTTTGCAAATGCAAAAGTAATTTTTAACTATGCTGTTTTCTGTGTTTTTCGCATATAAGAAAAAATGCTTTTTAAATCATTAAAAATTTAAACAAATATATCATAAGAAATGTAAAACAATACAAGATAAATAAAAGTTAGTATAGTATCTGTTGAAACTAAATGATGGAATAATAATACAACACAAAATGTAAAACAATACAAGTCTTTTGTATAAATTCCTGGAAATGTGTTGTTAGTCGCATCGGGCAGTCTCTGGATTGAATCTCTTGATTCCTTTCCTCGTCTTCCCGGTACCAACCATATTTATATGGTCGGTACTCCACTATGCAAATTTGGTGGATCCTACCACAACAGTATCAGTGTGATCGCCTCTAATTACTAATGCGATATTATTTGACATTGGTGAAGCAAAACATCTTTGATTATTGGTGATGTTTCCTTAACAACGAAATATCTCATTATCAAGAAAGGGATATCAGACTGCGGGACCAATAAATACATAAAATCACATTGTCTTCTATAATTCATATTATATTTTATTGGTATAGCAGTGAATGCTCAAAAATCTCACCACTGATAAAGAGGAGACTGGGGCAACAGAAACGTGGTTCTACAGAAGGATAATCAGAATCCCATGGACGGATCGAGTGAGAAACGAGAAAGCCTTAAAGAAAATGCTAACAAGAAGAACACTTATTAGAAAGAATTAGAATGGTACACATGGTAGATTTTGAGGAAAGAAGGCTTGGAGAATTCGACACTCACGGGGCATATGGAGGACACGGAGGATAGAAGAAGCCAACGAGCCACCTACCGGATTAATGGATGGCGGAAGAGGAGAAGAGAGGAATTGCAAAGGAAGAAACGCTGCTAAAGGCCATGTGGTGTAGGATGCTGTGGAGATTCATGATCGTCCACGTTGGCAACGTATTAAAAATCTTTGGGGATAGCAGTCGTAGTTTACCAGTCTTAGAAACTGTAATTTTAATAGTAGTAGTAGTATTAGTAGTTGTTGTTGTTGCTGTTGTAGCAATGGTAGATGCTACTGTTGTTTAGTAGTAGTATAAATGTTGACAATAGCTATCGTAGTCAACCGAAGTCGTTACGAGTCGTAACTTTAAGAGTATTAGTATTAGTAGTTACCTTTTAGTAGTAGTAGTAGTAGTAGTAGTAGTAGTAGTAGTAGCCGCCTTCGTATTGATAACAGCGTCAGGATTTTACAAGTATTGTTATTATTGTTTCAATTGTGGCTATTATTTTCGTTTTCAGTTCTAGTTTATTGTGTGTAGGAGATGCTTTTCAAAAACATGCCTGCTTTTTGAGCCTTAACTTTTGTGAAGCGCACATCATACATCTTTTTTCCCCGTATCGCTGTTTTCTGTTGAACATAATAAAAGGAAAACAATTGAAAGCAAAGTCAATTCTACTATTTTGTTTGTAGCTAACGAATTGCATATTCATTGCGTGCCGGTTAAAATAAATTAAGTTCTTTTATAAGTGGAACTCAAGTTTTACATTCGAGGCACAAGACCATTATGGTATACACAACCACTTTTCAAGACAAAGGATCTCCGCCTCTTCATAGTGAAACAAACGTCTCTGTCCAGGTGACGGATGCCAATGATGTAAAACAAAACCTCTCCATGGCAGAAAAACCAAAAGACACATCACAAGATGGCTGGAAGAAAAATGCCACTTACCCTGACTTCGGTCTTCGTGTAAGTTTATTTTGAATCAGGTCTGCTGCTAGGAAAGATGGTTCCCTGTGTCGTGCTCTGTCCAAGTGACGGGTGTCAGTGATATAAAACAAAACCTCTCAATGGCAGAAAAACCTAAAAAGACACATCACAAGATGGCTGGAATAAAAATGCCACTTACCCTGACTTCGGTCTTCGTGTAAGGTTATTTTGAATCAGGTCTGCTGCTAGGAAAGATGGTTCCATGTGTCGTGCTCTGTCCAATTGACGGGTGTCAGTGATATAAAACAAAACCTCTCAATGGCAGAAAAACCTAAAAAGACACATCACAAGATGGCTGGAATAAAAATGCCACTTACCCTGACTTCGGTCTTCGTGTAAGGTTATTTTGAATCAGGTCTGCTGCTAGGAAAGATGGTTCCCTGTGTCGCGCTCTGTCCAAGTGACGGGTGTCAGTGATATAAAACAAAACCTCTCAATGGCAGAAAAACCTAAAAAGACACATCACAAGATGGCTGGAATAAAAATGCCACTTACCCTGACGTCGGTCTTCGTGTAAGGTTATTTTGAATCGGGTCTGCTGCTAGGAAAGATGGTTCCCTGTGTCGCGCTCTGTCCAATTGACGGGTGTCAGTGATATAAAACAAAACCTCTCAATGGCAGAAAAACCTAAAAAGACACATCACAAGATGGCTGGAATAAAAATGCCACTTACCCTGACTTCGGTCTTCGTGTAAGGTTATTTTGAATCAGGTCTGCTGCTAGAAAAGATGGTTCCCTGGGTTACGCTAGACACTTTTTCTCGCCATAATATATCTATAAGTCTACCGCTCTTCCATAATTTGATTATTTTTGTGATGTCAGACACTTTCGTCGTTGTCACTTTCGTGAGGTCAACGAATGCTCGTTATCACGTTCGTAATCCTCGTTGTAGACGAGACTTTGTATACGTAGATACTGGTAGTAGAAACACCTTCAAATAATACTCGCACTAATTGTTGTAGCATACCTACGGACGATAATGGCTATGTCTCCATTCACATAAATACAGTAGTAAATACTGTATGTTGTTCTGCAATTGGAGAGTTGTCTCCAGCTGAACTGGTCAAACTTTCTGCCTTAGACGAGGCCATGTCGAAGAGCAGAGTCTCGTCTCGTCTCGGGAAACAGCTACCCAGCCCAGTTTTATACGGGATGTACGGGGAAGTTTTGGCTGAGCGTACGATCTCTGATACCCCACATTAAATTCGGCCTTGTGCTACATGCGATCATGTGGGGCGGTTAGTTGATATCTTGCTGTTGAAGACTCATTGTGGAATTCACTTGATGCACTTCTAGCAGTTGACTACTTCTTCTACGCGCCGCTCGCCAATCTTATGTGTTATTCATGTCCTAAATATTATCGTTCATTACCGACCTTCGTTTGATTATTCTACTCAGTAACCTTTGTTAGAATTTTTGGGTCCACTTGTGTACGAGTGAACCAGCCAAAATGAGCTGACTCATTTTATAGTTCACCAATAGAAGGCTTAACCAATCAGAAGGCTCAAAATATTCAATGCGATGTGTATAAAGGCGGCCATGTTTTTTTCCCCCGAATATTCACT